GGGGGGGGGGGGGGGGGAAGGAGCAGCGGCTGATTGGCGATTCGTCTCGATAAATTCATTAACAACTCGCAGACTTCTGTCGTTTCAATTGACGATGATAATCCACGCTCTCTCCTGCGACAGATTGCGATTTAAACTTCTCGGAGACAATTTTCTTGCGAGACCTTCTTAAGCCCCTCGCTTCTCAAACAATCTTCTCTCGGACGGATTTCCTCGAAATAAGCTTAGGACTCACGGAGTGAATCTTCGTGGTTATGTTTCATTTCGGAGTCTGTCTCATTGCATAAATATTGCATTTCTTTTGCGTAGCTTGATTTGTTTTTAATGGAAGCGTAGAAAAAAATTGAGCGTTTTCAATTTTATTACTTAACGATTATTGATATTTTCTTTTTTTTTATCGATAATTTCTTATACTTGTATAAATCAGCGAGTGTGTAAATAGGAAGCAAATTCCTCAAATTTTAATTTCCATTGTCGAACATTCATCAAGATAATTATCATAGTAAATCATTGTAATATATTATTTATTTTACAATCTGCCACGAAGCCATGAAAAATGCACTGAAATGGATTGCCCATGCAAATTGATATAATTTATCAACTGTGTTGTGCACAGTTCGTTGATTAATTAAATCAGTGAAATAGTAACATCGATTTGGAAGGATACGTAATATCTTCACTTCCATCGTTGCCTCGTTGTATGTTATCGAATATATTAACAGCCAGCTGAATCCTGCGAAATAATTTCTACAATGAGCTTGAGTCTGAACAAATTTGAATTTCGTCGCTAATTAATTCGAATGGTTTTTGCGCAGGTGGTAACGCCACAGAAATGCGGCGACGTGTACCTGTACGATCTTCCAGCGAGCCGAGGAAGTCCTGCGCCACCCTTCAGGCACGATTCACCCTTGAACTCGAATAACGAGCATTTACACAACTCAGGTGCGTAGCAACCCCTCGTTTTGTTTCTCCGACCGTTCGTTCGCGACCTGGCAACTTCAATAGTTTCACAGGCCGTTCGTTAGAAATTTAATTACGTGCTTCTCGAATATAATTTTACGTACCCGTTTATATTATATTTAATAATATAGCCATTTTAACTTCACTTTCTGTTCAACGTATCGATCACGTTTTGTTCGACAAATTCCCATTCCCAGATTAATTACCGATCATTTTACGTTTTAGAATGAACGTAGCAGAGAATTTTCTCTCTGTTATTCGTTTTGTTTCGCGCAGTGCCTCGTTCTCCGTCGCGTTTTATTAATTGCGCGCGCCGGATGTTGCTTCGGCAGCACGTGTGCAAGAGAAAGTATCAAACCGAAGTAATTATTCATTATGTTAAATGTAACAGAGAAATGTCAGAAAATGTAGAAATCTGTTTTTTCTTTTTTTTTTTTTTTAATTAGCCTCTTTGAAATTGACTCTTTTTCCCACTTTGTCTACAAATGGAAAATTCTCGAGAGTTCACTTCGAAATTGAAAAATTATCCATTTTGGAGCTAAGAAATCACGAACTTCGAAATCGAAAAGCAACCATCTTTGTAAGTGTCAAATTGCGAACTACAAGAAAAAAAAAAAAAAAAAAATTAAGAGTTAACTTCCCTCGGGATTGTCAGATTTTTCATCTCGAAGTTGGAAAATAAAACGAAATTAAATTGTAAATCTAACTCCTGGTTGGAGCTGTTAAGTTACAAATTACAAATCCCAAACGTGAAAGATAATCTTCTTCTTCAACTAACGAATTGTAAATTTCAGAAGAACAGAAAAGATGATCCAGTTGTGATGTTCGATGGGAACTCGAGTGCTTTTCGACTAACAGTGGCATGTTATAATCGAGAAATTTCAGACGCGTTGTCGTTGCATCGCGATGCACCAATCCTTTTAATCGCTTCAATCGACCATTAATGTGTTTGTTCGTGGGTACTCGATCGAAAACAAGATACTTCCATAGGAAGCGTTTATCGAGAATCGATAAAACGCCAATGTTATTCACAGATTTCTTTGATTAAACGGCGTCGTTGCGAATACAATTTTCAGCTTCGTTCGAGAAAAAAAAACCGCGCCAGACGAATCGATTCGTGAATGCAATATTTGCAATAAAAACTTGCTTATCGCACGATCGATAAAGGATGCTTCTTAATGTTTCATTAAATCATGTGAATCTCGACAGGGCAATTTACTTGTACATTAGATTTTTCTTTAGCTAACATTTCTTTTGTTAAACGTGACAATAAAGTTGAATGAAACTTTGCAATGAGTTGATATTCATTGATATAATTTGCACGAAATATAGTAGAAATATTTAAACACTGGGAGTATAATGAATTGGATAATTGCATTGCAAATTAAAAAATAGCAGTGCAAATGTAATGTAAATTCTCTTTCAAAATGTAAAATTGATTTATCTATCTGTTGAAACAAATGATTTTATTTTGCTTTATCGAAAGCAAATTTCTATCTTAAGCATTCAAATTTGTTAATAATTTGCAAACGCACAGATGTAAAATATATCCTCTTATTTGCAACAATTATAACTTAACTTTCGCACGCGACAAAAGAATTAAATATTCGTTGAGAGAAAAGTTTCGTTTTTATTGATCGACAATTGCGTTTTACTTTTCGATACTTTAATATTATGATACGAAAATATTAACAAATCTTTATAATTGTTGCTTGCTAAAGAGCAACAATAAACTGACCGATCGCTCGTTATTTTTTTTTTAATGTTGAAACAAAATTGAAGACCGCAAGCGACAAATTCAATTTTGCAGATTTTCTGATTTTTCCATTATTTGGTAGTCAGTTAATTTCCACGTTTCGATTTATTTGTCGGAATCGATATGTTTTCGGAAATATTCAAGCA